TCGAGTAAGCCCTCTCTCTTCGATACCTCAACACTCATCTAATTGCCTTTTCATCAATGTATCATCATTATCATTATCATCATCACATGGTTCTCTTATAGCTTGCCCTTTGGTTTGGTTCACCAGTTTTCTCTGTATTACTCGATTCCCGTTTGTCACCAAATCAAATCCCAATTCGTTTCGTGATAATTTAAATACAGAATCCCTGAGAATAATTATTCAACACGACTATTGGGACGATCCCAGAATTGTGAACTTGTTTGGTTCGGCTTTGGCGCCTATTTGGGCGTCCAAGTTTTTGGTGGAACTCAGGGGAGACCCCAAGTTGGCTTTGAAATTGTTCAGATGGTCAAAAACCCGAATTGGGTTTTGCCATACTACTGAATCTTATTGTATTTTGGTTCACATACTCTTTTATGCTAGAATGTATTTTGATGCCCATGAGATTCTTAAAGAGCTGGTGTCGTTGAGGCGGGTGTCGCTGGGTTGTGATGTATTTGATGTGTTGTGGTCAACAAGGAATGTTTGTCGTCTGGGATTTGGAGTGTTTGATGCGTTGTTTAGTGTTTTGGTTGAGTTTGGAATGCTTGAGAAAGCAAGTGAGTGTTTCTTGAGGATGAAGAAGTTTAGAGTTTTGCCAAAAGTGCGGTCTTGTAATGCCCTTTTGCAAAGGCTTTCAAAGTCAGGGAAGGGGAATTTTTCAAGGAAGTTTTTTAAGGATATGCTTGGGGCTGGGATTACACCTTCGGTATTCACTTACAATATAATGATTGGTTATTTGTGCAAAGAAGGCGATTTGGACACTGCTAGTTGCTTGTTTGCACAAATGAAAAGAATGGGCCTTACACCTGATATTGTGACATATAATTCTCTTATTGATGGATATGGAAAGGTTGGAATATTAGATAATTCGTTTTGCATATTTGAAGAAATGAAGGATGCAGGTTGTGAGCCTGACGTAATAACCTTCAATTCTTTGATTAATTGTTGTTGTAAATTTGATAAGATGCCCGAGGCTTTGAATTTTCTCCGTGAGATGAATAATAAAGGGTTGAAGCCAAATGTCATAACTTATAGCACATTAATTGATGCCTTCTGTAAAGAAGGGATGATGCAAGAGGCTGTTAAGATTTTTATGGACATGAAACGAGTTGGCCTTTCACCTAATGAGTTCACCTATACTTCTTTGATTGATGCAAATTGCAAGGCTGGCAATTTGAGCGAAGCACTGAAGCTGAAAAAGGAGATGTTTCAGGAAGGGATTAGCTTGAACATTGTAACGTATACAGCTCTACTGGATGGGCTATGTCAAGATGGGAGGATGGAGGATGCAGAAGAAGTCTTCAGGGAAGTACTGGAAACTGGAATAAGTCCTAACCAGCAAATATGTACTGCCCTTGTTCATGGGTATATTAAGGCTAAGAGGATGGAGAATGCTATGGAAATATGGAAAGAAATTAAGGGGAAAGGCTTTAAACCCGATTTGTTACTTTATGGAACCATCATTTGGGGCCTTTGCTCCCAAAATAAGCTTGAAGAGTCTGAGCTTGTATTCAGTGAAATGAAGGGTTGTGGATCAACTCCAAATCATTTCATTTACACAACACTTATGGATGCTTATTTCAAGGCTGGAAAAACCAAGGAGGCACTTAATCTATTACAAGAAATGCTGGACAATGGTATTGAGTTCACTGTTGTAACATATTGTGCATTAATTGATGGTTTGTGCAAAAAGGGATTGCTCCAAGAGGCAATTAATTACTTTAGGAGGATGCCTGACATTGGTTTGGAACCCAATGTTGCAGTCTTTACAGCCTTAATTGATGGTCACTGTAAAAATAATTGCATTGAAGCAGCTAAGGAGCTGTTTAATGAAATGCTAGACAAGGGTATGATTCCAGATAAAGCTGCTTACTCCACTCTAATTGATGGAAATTTGAAGCATGGAAATCTTCAAGAAGCTTTGAGCGTGGAAAAGAGAATGAGAGAAATGGGTATGGAACTTGATCTGTATGCGTATACTTCCTTGATTTGGGGTCTTTCTCACTTTGGTCAGGTACAGCAAGCAAAAATATTGCTTGATGAGATGATTGGGAAGGGTATCCTTCCAGATGAGATTCTTTGTATTTGTCTGCTAAAAAAGTACTATGAGCTAGGGTATTTGGATGAAGCCTTTGAGTTGCAGACTGAAATGGTAAACAAGGGTTTAATAACTGGAACTTGTGATTATGCGGTTCCTAATGCAAGAACTTGAGAGGGGGTTAATTGCTTATCATCTTAGGTTGGTTGGCATGTCTTGAATATCTCAGTTGGAAACATAGAATGGCTTTACTTCTACTAATTGGAAGCATATGAACCCAGTGACCATTTGAACTGAGTTCTGGATGGACTGGATGATTTGTTGCAAAATGTGTGTTCGATTCCTCTTGATGAAATATGACAACTACCTGTTGAGGCATATTAAAGATTCTCTGTGGTCTAATGAGGGAAAATCTCCTACGTACAGCGCCTTTAATGGGTAAGGCTTTTGTTAAAAAAATTCTTTCAGGTGATGCCTTCATTAAAAAAAGAAGTTTGCATTACTTTTGAATGATGAGATAAAACTACTTCTGGAATTCATAATTTCCTTTTTAAATTTCCTTCTTGAATTCTTCAAGCTGCAGTATCCTGAACTGACTGTAGTAAAACATGTGGCAGCTGGAATTCCTGGATTGGAAGGTATTGTCTGGTTAGCCAGCTTTGCTATAAAAAAAGATGCATAACAAGGAAAGGATTGACCAGACTCAGTTGAACTGGATGATGCTTTTGGCGAGCTATACTAGCAAGGTGCAAATTTCACTCTACATCTTATTATTTTGATATTCCAGACGTGGTATTCATGCCTAGATGTGGCAACGTCCTCGAGTAGCTATTTTTCTTTGCAATTTGCTTCTCATTGCCTAACTGATGTGATTATATGTACTCTACTTTTTATAGTACTTTAGTTTGTTGTTAATATTGTACTCTGGAAGATGGCTTTCACTGGCTATGTCAGGCCAGGCCATCATAAAATAGATATATGCCAAATATATAAGGCTACTTATCTGCCACTTGCTTAGCATATTAATGCACTTGCTCTCCACTTTAGGGAAAAGAAAGATGAAGGAAAGTTGAGTTATACATTTTGAAAAGCAAAACTAAATTTGTATCGGTTGTGTATCCAAAGCAAAGCCCTTAATTTCATTTTGGCGGGTCAGATGAAGCCGATCAAATTGGGCTTCATTTCTTTGGATGGGATATAAGCTTTGGATAAACTATCTTCCGGCCCAAATAATACATGATTGAACTGGATTGAGGATGAATTTATTCTATGATTTGTTTGATTACTCTTGATTAAAAATGGTAGGGACGGGAGGCAGCGGTGATGACAGCAATGGTGGTGGCAACAACAATGGCGGTGCTGCATGGCGGCAAAGATGATCAGCTTTCACGTCGTGGTTGTGACCAGCTGTGGCAACTATGATGGTTGCATGAGAAGTGTGATGGTGGAGACAACAATGACACCGGTGGTGTTAGCAGTGAGGTAGTGTTGGCGGTGACATTACTAGAGGATGAATTGTATTACGATGATTATATCCCCTCCCTAGTGGATTTCTACATCATCGTCTAATTTCTTAGACATAAATATATCGAATCCGGCCTTTTAAATCAGGGCCCAGGCAGATTAATGTGGCCTTTACTTTTATCATTTTCCTTTCTCATTTTAATCTTCCAGATTAATGTCTCCTCTTTGAATATTGTTTGTGATTCTGTGAACGGTTATTGAGCTCTGCAATCCATGCATTGCATGAACTGATATACGAATGAAGGGCCCAACGCGCAGAGGGAGGAGAGAATTATTATTATTTTTTGTTTTTCAACTTGTAACAAATCATGATACTAAAATGATTAATTTACAATTGATCGATTTACAGCTAATACCAATTTCCTTATCTTTTAAGTATTTTAGTGTATGTGAGTTTAGTATATTGTCGCCCTTCTCAATATAAAAAGTCCTTAAAAAAAAGTGTTTTTATCTTAAAATAAGAGTGTTGCTAAACGAACTCTAAAATTAACTAAGTATACACCTTATGATCTAAGTACACTTTAATATTAAAATCAAAATATAAAATTAACTAAGTTCACTCTATACAACTACAAAAAATACCATTAGCATACCCTAATGCACTTTATCACAAGGAGCCATATAATAACCATCAAGCTGGGCAACTAAACAAAGAATATAAATCTAATAAATAAAAAATAGTAGAATTGACTTTATCCTAAAATTTTAAGTCTCGTTCATTGTGGGTGTAGCCCTCAAACTTTGCATGTCGTCACTTATCATAAACTTGATAAAAAAAAGAGTGGAGGTCTTTTCACCCAAATATGGGGCATATCCTCCGTCACACCCAATTTGGAAGAAGTAACATGATTATCTCATCTATCATCTTGTCCATCACATTGTAGTGTTATATGGCCTCAAATAAACTTGGGATTTCCAGGACATAAGGAACCAGCAAAAGAGAAAAGCCATATTGGATCTGTAGACGTTTGTCAATGGTGGAATCATGGCAGATCTAGTACTGCAGCGATGACAGTGCTGCGGCTAGGATGATGTTAGGGTTTGGTTGTTAAACAAATTAATCAAATAAATTTTAAAAACATAAAAAAACTGATTAAATTAAAATAGACAATCCATGTTATGTGACACATCAGTTGGTAATAAAAAGTTGGTGTTTAAGTTAGTGCCCGTAGCATTACTACTATTAAAATTACATTTGTTTCACTATTCAATATATCCTTTTTTGTCATTTCATATTATGGTAAATTAGTAATTCAATAAATAATTTTATAATAAGACATACTCAGTTAATTTTAGAATTCATTTAGCAACACTCTTAAAAATAAAATATAAATATAAAAAAGCGCAAAATGTATAAAAGAGGAAAAGGCTCGTTGCAGAAAAAGTGAGGGCGCGCCCAATTTATATCCCCTACACCTCCACAGGTATAAGTATACAAGAAAAGTGGCGTCTATCTGGCTTGGGTCGGGAGCTGGTGCGGCAGATCGGTGGGAGGCTTGGAAGCGCTTTTGGCATCCGAAAGCTGAGGTACGGTTTCAGCCTTGGATTCTCTCTCTCTCTCTCTCTCTCTCTCTCTCTCTCAGTCTGTATAGCCGTTAAAGTTCACTATTATGCTTCAAACCCAGAACACACCAATTACTGATTTCCTAGACTGACTAAAACAACAGCTTCAGAAATTCAACAATGTCTTCTTCCTCTAAACATACAATCTCTCTGCATTGCGATTTGCAGTTTGCAGTTAAAAAGGGGAAGAAGACGACGAATGAGATGAATTCGAAGGGCTTTCGGTTAAAATAAATTTGGAAGAAATGGGGACTAGGGTTCCAGTGCAGCACTACAACATGAGATCGCCTAATTCCTACATTGGAAACCCTCTTCACGACCTCAACACCGTCGATGCTCGCCCCGCCGCCGAAATCGACTCCATCAGTGATGTCGACCGCGACGCCGTCACTGAGCATAGCCTCGACAACGACGACGGTTCCAGTGCCGTTGTTAATGACTGTATACATGAATCCTACACCAACTCTTTACCCATCCACGGCGTCCGCGTAGGAGTTGAAGAAGACCGGTCGCGCCTTGAAAACCATGGCGGCTCTTCCAGTTCCAGGGCTCCCTACGATCTCTTATCACTTCAAGGTACCAACTTTAACTTGCTTTCTTCGAATTTTGTGTATTTGTGTTGGAAAGTTTGAAATTTGAACCGAACCCTTTTGGCTTTGGAGTCAGATGTGTCACCTATTGAATCAGCAAGGGCACGATTTCTGCAACTTATTGTGGATCATTTTATTAGTGAACATGTCGTTGAAGTGCCTAATTCTGAGGCTGCTGCTGACTATGATAGTGCTCAGTCTGGCCAAGATAAACTCAATAAGAGAAAGCCCGGGGAGGTCCGGTATGAAGGGGACCCCAGACTGGCTTTGCCCCTGATGTATGTCGCAAATATGTACCAAACTTTGGTTAATGAAGCAAATATTAGGCTTGATTCCTTGAGTGGATTTCGTGAGAAGACAATTGGGGTTGCCCTTGAAGCTTCTGGTGGATTGTACAGATGCCTGGCTAAGAAATTTCCCAAAAAAGGTATTCAATTTCTCTGCATATAAGATCTATGTTGATTTGTGAATCAATTTTACTCGTAATAGCATCTAAATAATAAGTGGTTGCTAAATAAATCTTGCCCTTTTTTGTGATAATATCTGATTTGCCTATATCTTTCCGAAAGGACCGTGTACATTTAAAAGAAGAGAGTTGGCCACATCTATCGAAACAAGGACAAGATTTCCAGAGTTGGTCATACAAGACGAGAAGCGAGTTCGTTTTGTAGTAGTAAATGGTTTGGATATTGTTGAAAATCCTAATAACATGCCTACTGATGATGCAGAATGGTAAGTTTATAAATCAATTTGCAATCTTCTTTTTTGGGGTGTGATTATCTGTTAAAATATTCCAATTTTTGGCTCATCTTTTGCACTAATTTCCATTTCTTAAGACTTAATCAATGTTTTCCTTTGGGCAAGACATCCTCTTTGGTCAATGTTAGCTTGCCACACTCCTTTTTTAGAGTGCAAAGTAAATGAGTACATGGAAACTTGGCACAAGGCTGTGCTGAGCTATAGCTGGAGTACGAACGATAGCCACTGTTATATAGTTTCATGACTTCTGACATCTCTTAGGCTTGAGATTCTGAACACACTGTTACTACCTCTATATGTGCTTATCAAAAGTTAAGCAACTAAGTTGATGATAAACAGCTGCTGTTTATGCTTTTCAAAACAACCTTTTACAAGGATTACAAGGATGAATTTGGAAAAGCCTGAAGCGAAGACTATCCTTGTAGGACCCATGGGATATGTATATATATATATACATATATAATATTCAATAACACATATAGAAATTTCTGAGAATGCAAGTCGTGAGTCAAGATATTTATTTTAAACTGGGAAGAATAGTAGGATTTTTCCCTTCCATATGATAGTTTGTGCCGAAGTATCATTCTTTTATTTATTTTTTGTCTTAGTCGAGACCTGTCTGCATGAAGTACTGATACAACTCAGATTTGGTTTGAAGTTTGCAATGTGCCTAAATCTTTCCTTTTCCCTTTTTTTACTTTCTCTTTGCTGCAGGTTCAAACGATTGACTGGTCGGAATGAAGTAGCAGTCTATGCTCGAGACTTTAAGTTCTATTCTCCAAGACACAAGTATAGACGTGTTGCATCAAACTCTTCACCTAATATTGCTGGTTTACCTGTAAGCTTGATGTCACTTATTTTGTAATACTTGGAGCTCATTTTCATCTCATTAACTTTGACAAAAAATTTAGGTTAACCATGAAGAATGGGGGCCATTACAGAACATTCTGAAACTGTGGGACATAGATAGGTCTTAGAGTATAGAAATCTCCTTTTGTTTTTCTTTCTCCTCATGGTCGTGTTTGAGTAAATCCAAAATTAAAATTGCATGATAAGGAAATTGATATTTGGTGGTACTTATAATAACATCACAATATTTTACTTTACTAACTAAATTGAATGCGGAGGTATCAATTCATCCTCTTAATATATCCTTTTCAGACATTTCCTGGCACTGATAATTCTTCCATTTTGGCTGCTGCTCAGGGATTCCGCTCCGTAAGTGAAGTAAGAGTTATTTCTATGCTTAATGATTATTGCAACAACGTTTTATGTTTGATTGGATTGTCAATATATTGAGATGAGCATCAGCCTATATCAAGATTGTTGTTGGCCCTAGATGTTTTATATTGTTATCAGCCTTAGATGGTTGCAGGGCATGTAGCTGCATGCTGCTGTGAGATTGATCTTCAAACTTTTCTAGCAAAAAAGACACCAAGTTTTTGGATTAGTTGTATTACTGCCATGGTTCTTTTATAATTCAATTATTTTGCCGTTTGGGAAAATAATCAGTGTATATGTTGTACTTGCCATTCACAACACTAAACTTGATGCATCAAAGGCAAAATAACATGCCTCTTAAGTGGATGGAGATTCCAATGGTGGGGATTGTGAAGCTACTAATAAACTCATATAAGTCTCTGTTGACACCTTATTGGTTAATGACAGCAAGACATATCTGGTTTAGGACCAAATGGTGTATCACACTCACTTTTACCACATATTCGAGAATAAATCTCTTATCTTTTGTAGAAATATATTTAAAACTTAATGGTGCTCAATATGGCTTATATTTTGATTAGTATGCTATTGTGAGCCCCTATGCCTGTGTTTTTTCTGGATATACAAAACATTGTCTGTGTAAAAATGGAGATTTATCTTTTTCCTTTTAGCAGCCACAAAATCAGCAGACGACTCCGTGTAAGCATCATATGCAACCCTTGTTGCACCAACCTCAGTTTCAGCCTGTTCACCAGACTCATCACCAATCCATCAACCAAAGTCCACATGCTGTTCATTATTCTCAAAACCATCAATGTGGTGCTGCCTCGCAACTGCCTGAAATTGCTCATGCTCACCATTCACCGACTATATCGCAGCACATGGTTTGCTTACAACCCCTCACAGGAGGCCATGTAGGGGGACGCATGCATGTATTGGTGAGTTCTATTTTGCATGCTGTCTCAAATTCACGTTCGTCTTTTGATGTTTTTGCTATTCTTGAACGCTCCCTTTGCTTTGTGCTGTGTTATTAAGTGATGGATTATGTCAACTGCAATGGGAAACAAAGTAGAATGATTTTAATGTCTGAAGCATATTTTCATGACCACATAAAAAAAAAAAAGTCTTTATTTATTCCTTACTGACCAAGTTTTATTTCAGCCATCCAGTCCTGCCAAGTTTTGCGACGAATGTGGGGTTCCATACTTGAGAGAAACCTCTAAGTTCTGCTCAGAATGTGGCGTTAAGAGGTTGGGAGTATAATATGGCCTCTATCAATTCTTCACTGCCCACCATGAAGTATATTCAGTTCACAGCCGTGTAATGTTTGTTCTATATTTTGTTGTAAATATGTATATTGGTCTCAGAGTCGGAATTTTTAAGAAAAAAGTAGAGCATTGTAACTCAAAGATAATCTTTTTTTATATTTATGTTGAAACACAAGCAAAACATGAGGAAAAGAAAAAAAATTAGCAACGACCAGAGGAATGGTAATCTTTTGATTCGTTTTAGTGGGAGAGTGACAAATACAAGAGAGAAGAAGCGTGAGGTAAAGTAAGCAATTATGCAAGTTTGGGGCTGGGCCCACATTATTGGGTTTCTGGCATCTGGGTCGCCCCTTCAGACTAACTTTGTACAAAAAGCCCAATTCTTCTTGTTCCAGTTCTGTTTTGCAAAACGCCGACTAAATTTCTTTTTCCTTTTTAGTAATTGACTATCCTACAGCCTACCCTACACTATCGGCAGGTTATTATTTATTTATTTTTTTTTGGTCAACAGCAGGTTATTATTTAAGAGAAGAGGCTTCATCAACTTACTGTTTCAGAAAATACCTCTTATGTCCCTATTTTATCAATTTTACCCTTATTATATGAAAGAGAAACAAACATGGGTAGATAAATAGTTATAATTTATTTTAAATAAATCTACACAATTCCTCACCACTCTCAGTAATTACCAAAAAATTTCCTTCTCCTTCAATAAATCCACACCCTCCCACATTCATTTTTATCAAAATTAAATAAAACAAAATGCTGAGAATTGTAAAACATTCAAAACATCGTGCGTGTGAAGAGGCTAGTCAAAATTAAAATAAAATCTATAAAATGAAATAAAATGTAAATCATAATCGGTTTGAAGTCCAAACATACCAACAACCAAACCAACGGTTCTACTTTGAGTTCCGACGGAGTGAAACTTCCTCTCTGTCTCTCTCTAAAGTCACAACCTCCTACTCGTCCCCAGCTACCTACCTTCCCATAAAGTCCAAACTCTCAAGAACTCGTCGGCCGCTTAACCATGAACTCCTCCTCCACGCTAGCCTCCTCCTCATCGTCCTCGTCTCTCTTTCATTTCAAACTCACTCCCTCTAAACCAACTCAACCATCTCTTCTCCGTTTTGCCCCACCACATTCCCACAATTCCCACCATGCCCCTGCCCTCAAAATCACAGTTTCCTCAACCAACCACAACACCCTCCTCCCAAGCAACGGCGGCCACAACTCAAACCCGATTCTCCAAAATCTCAAACATTATGCCAAAGCTGCAATTCTCATTGGCGTCGCTGCCACCATCTTCACCAAGTCCTCAACTTTGCTCGCCAGAGCCGAACCTCCGCCTGCATTGACCGAACAAGCCCCAACCCAGGTCTCGGATGACGAGAATCAATCCTCATCGCCCTTGTCCGACTTCCTAGGCTCCAATTCGGAAGCCATCGAAGCCTTGAAATCGCTTCTGCAGCAGAAGCTCGAAAACGGCGAGGACGGTGAAGCGCTAAAGATCCTGCAGCGCTTGGCCTTGGCGCAGCCCTCGGCGACCGAGTGGAAGTTCATGATGGCTAGGGTGCTCGCCGAAATGGGCGAAAACGAAAGCGCCCGCCAAGTGTTCGAGGAAATACTCGCGGCGGATCCTTTGTCCTTCGAGGCGTTGTTCGAGAACGCCCTGCTGATGGACCGCAGCGGCGAGGGCGAGGCGGTGATGAAGCGATTGGAGGACGCCTTGCAGATTGCGGAGGAGGAGAACAAAGCAAAGGAGGCTCGCGACGTTAAATTAATAATGGCACAAATTCAGTTCCTTCAGAAGAACGTGGAGGACGCTTTGAATAGCTATAACGAATTGGCAAAGGAGGACCCCAAAGACTTCAGGCCCTACTTTTGCCGCGGCATGATTTACAGTTTGCTTGACAGGAATGCAGAGGCGCGAGAGCAGTTTGAGAAGTACCGCCAGCTTTCGCCGAAGAAGTTCGAGGTGGATGGCTACTTGAGGACGCCATTGTCGCGAGTCAAGCTATTTGGGAACGATGAGAATTGAGTTTTGAGGCTCTCTCTGCCTGTGTCAAACTCTTTTTTGTTATTTTCTTGTTTTGTTTTTGAGACTTGGTTGAAAGTTGAAAATAACAGTTGAGAGATGTCGTTCAATTCTCTCTCAGAAACAAAGGTCCTATACAAGTTGTTCAAATCAAAATCTTTCGTTTTAATAATTCAACTTCTTAAATTGTACCAAGCTTATCTCTAAGCCGATGCATCCTGCAAATCACTGACATGTAATGAAATATAAAAAGTAATACTCATCAAAGATAATTTGTCTGACATATATATATATATATCAAAACAACCATCAAGTTCCAACATAACAAGATTCACAAAGCATATATATAATATATATTAACATGTGATGACTACTTTTTGCCTCCTTTCTTCTTGGGCTTCTTGTTCTTGCCCTTTTTCTTCCCCTTGTTTCCAGTTTCCTTAATGCCAGATTGGGATCCAGAAGCCGCAACATCAGCTTGCTTAGACTTTGGATATGACTCTTTGGTTATGCAGCTTTCCTCATCTTTAGTGTGAGTGTCCCCAGCATCACCCGGCTCAGAAGCAGCATCAGCGTGCAGAGACATTGGATTTGACCCATTGGTTATGCAATCTTTCTCAACTGTACTGTGACTGGCACCGTCCCCAGCATCACTCGGTTTATCAGATGCAGCATCAGTCTGTAATGGTTCCACCACACCAGACTTCGATGGCAGGATCTTAGAACTCTTCCCCTCATAATTGGTTGCATGAAGCACACGACTGCCAGAATTATTGCCTCCTGCTTCAACAGATCTAGCTTGGGAAGCTGGTAGTACAGGTGGTTTAGGAAACAACTTCCTCAGAATGTCATCCTTGGAATGGTTGGCCTTCATGTCAAAAAATATGGCATCTGGACATACGATCCTTGCACAATTGGACCCAAAATTTGCAACTACCAAAGTATTACCAATCTTCCGAAAAGCTGCAGCTAGCTCACTCACATTTATACTAAGAGATTTGTGTCTCCTCCTCCTCTTAAGGGCGTCAAAAAATTCCCATGGCAGCTGCTCGGTGATATATTCCCTCCCCAGCAAATCGTAGAGTATATCTTGACCCATATCAAAATTCACATAAACCAAGCATAAAACAGTAACAAATCTCAACATGAGCTGTGAATAATAGTTCTTCCAATTTGCATTGGTCTTTTTAATCCATTCAACCATATCCCCCTTATTAAAAACACACCCCTGAACCACATAAATCACAAAATGAAGGATGCCATCCAAAGATGATGGCACATCAGCAACTATGGAACTTACTTTGGTATCTTCCTCTTGGTATATAAGCCACTCAATAAAGCAAGAACTTGTAGTGATAGCATAACCCTTAAAGCGAGTTGCCCAAAACAGAAGGCGCTCCACAAGGTACAAAAAGCAACCAGGTGATATGTAATCATTAACAACCCTCCAGTTCGCATTATAAGTATCAGCCAAAGCTCCACAGAACTTCAACATTACAGAAACCTCTCTCAGTTCTTGACTGGTGTTTCCAGGGCCAACATTCCCACAGAGGTTCTCAATGAACGCCTTCCATGGCGGTTGGCAGTCCAGTTTTTCCACAAGCTTATTGTATAGTTCACTATTCAGGTTACCGGACCCGAGAATAACCATTACAAGCTTTCCAATTTGCCCAAAAGACAGCTCCCTCTTCGAGCTGGTATACTCAACTATTACTTGTTCCAGTGCCTTCTTTAGAGCATCAGTTCTTCTAAGAGAAATCATATTCTCCCTCAATGAACTCCTCCAATCCATAGGAAATATGTGTGTAACAACACTCTCAGTTGAAAGCCTTACACATCTCTGCAATCTCAACGTATCCTGATATGTTAGCTTCAAACATTTTGATTGCAAAAGACATAGTGAGACCTCACAAATATGGGTAAGGCACCTGCTTTGGCAGAACACTGGATCAGCATTCTTCATTGGAAACTTGTAAAGAATTTCAAGCTTGTCCAAAACTTTCATGCCAACAGAAAGCATTTCTGAACTCCAAAAATTACGAGCAGCTGAGACAAGCTGGTGAACATCAACGGAGACCAACTTTCCATGACTTCTAAAATATCTTTTGTCCACACCTTGAACCCAATCAGCACCAGACATGAGTAAAACATAGACTGGACTAAGATTATGATACAACCTCCACACTCCTAAGTAATCAAAACAAAACTCCCCGTAGCTTTTGTATTCATTAACATCTTGGGTTTCAAGGCATCCAAGATATTCAAAAATTAAACCAACTTTATCCTTCCAAAAATTCCAGAAGTAAATCAGTGAATCCATAGATACCTGATTTTCAGATATTCTGTCTTCCGAGCACTTTATCAGATCATCCCACACATACTTATTGGCGCTGGAAGAAATATGAGCATCCAATATTTTTCGAGCTGATATTAATTCACCTCTAATACTCTTATGCCTCTGACAAACATCCATATGATTTTTTATCAAAGCCAAGTTACTCTGCTCGTTTAACAAAATGTCGACCTCAGTGCAAACAAGCTCATAAAAGCTTTTTGTTTCATTCTTAGCAAATGACATGGCTTTTGATAAAATCTCCCCCTTCTGTGAAAACTGTTGTATGGGCCAGCCCTTTCTGCCAGATGACCAAAGAGAGTTGGCAAGCACATAGAATAGAATACGTAATGACGCTTCTCTGGACTTGCCTGCTTTTTCAAGAAAATCAGCTTCAAGTAGAATATCGCCTTTCAGCTTTGCGATGTCCGCGGCTTCAAGATAGTTTCCAAATTCTGCTTCCAAGAAAAGAAGCTCATCAAGGATACCTAACTTCTTCAAAAAGTTCCGCATCGATATTATAGAATCAAAAGCTTTAACAAATTTCATCATGGATCTGTCATCTTTCAACTCATAATAGTGAAATGCGCAGTTCTCCAGAAATTCTTGCTCAATTTTATCTATTCCTTCACATCGTCTAGCCACAACACAGTCCTCTGTTGCATGCTGTTTCCAATAATTGATGTATTGCAAGCCCATTTCAAACAGTTTTCCTTTTACACAAACAGTGAGACACTCAGAGAAGAAGTTTCCCTTGGCATACACATCTGCAGCATCTTGGTAGCATCCTGCTAGAGAAAAACATTCCGCAGCTCTTTCCAGATCAGACACGCCACATTTATCCAAATAAATCCAAGCTGCACCAGACAAGTTAAAAAATGAGAAGAAATTTATTACAACCAAAATTCCACAGGCTTCATAGCATTATGCAAGATATTAAATGATGGTGAAATAAAATCTAGTACTTGAGATGTTAAATAGTTATACCTGCTCTTTCATATTCGCCCAAATCAGAGAAACACCTGGCAGCAGAATCTGCCTTGCCTATAGCATCAAATATTTCAGCAGCTTCCCTAAGAATGGAATTGGCCTCTTCAGGATTTGAAGTTCGCATACGGTCAGCCATAGCTTTAAGGCCGGCAGCTTTTGACCTTCTTTCCCAATATGTATCACCAGCTCTTTCAAAGCACATTGTGGCCATTTCGTAGTTATGTTCATGAAATAGCTGCAAGAACAATTTGATGCTTGTAATGCAAGGAGTGCAGTAATGATGACAATAAGAATAATATAATTAACCAATACTACAACAAATGCTTTAATTGTTTGTCGCTACTATAAATTAACTAATACTACAACAAATGCTTTAGTTATGTTCATGATATATCTTAATTGCTTTAAGACGAAAATTTTGCAAACCTTAATGCCCCGTGATTTCCACTCCTCTGGATTGCTTGCAACTTGCATTGCCTGTGCAAGTGAATCATCCAGTTGCCTAACCTGTACAAGACATTTCTTCTTCCAATAGTCAAACATAGGTTTGGAGAGATCTTCTGCATTCTCACAAATCCACAATCTCTGTCTGGTACGAGTAACGGCTACATATAGTTGCTTTAGTTCAGAGCACAAGATGTTGTGCTTGGCTTCATTGAAACTTGGAAAGCGCTTAGGTAATGTTGAGTCAAGTAAGTCTTGTTCCTTCATGTAATCATATATTACCCTCCATTGATTTTTCAATAGTGATGAACCAAAAAAGTTGTACAAGAGTACGTCCTATAGATGGGAAATGATTGTCATGAATGAACAAAAGTTTAAACATAGTAAACATATAGAGGACTGAAAGTATCATAATTCAATAAATAGTGCAGCAGTAAACCATAATTTTCTAATGTGAAGCCAGTATCTAATTAGATTCCGTTGGGAAAACCAGCCACAAAAAATTATACAAAGGAAAAAGGAGAAAAAAGACCATATCATGCTGGGATAATAGCTTCTCCAAGAATTGAAAAAAATTAAATAAGTAAATAAATATTGTAATCACCTGGAACTCGAGGCCCTTGCACTCCACAATGGTTAGGACAAGAGCATGTTTCCCAACAAACATGGAAACTTCTTTCCTAGCACCATCATCTCGCACCAAAATAACCTGCTCTGCACCGAAGCCAACTATATTTCCACTGTGAGTTCCACTATTTCCAAATATTTTTATGATTGCATTTTCATTTTCTCCATATTCAAGCAAAACTGGAGCTTCCCCGTATATAAGACTGGTTTCAGGTTTTAAAACATCAATAGAGTGGGGAAAAAAGCGATAGATTAGTTCAACAATGCTCTGTGATAACTTCAGTACACCAGCATGGGTACGGAAATTTTGAGTCAAATGAAATATATCTGAAATTTGTCCCTTTACTTTTCTTTCGTCATGCATATTACTTCTTGATTCCAACACAAACTTCTTGTGGAACAGATGTCGTATGTCTTGGAACCTAAAATCAATACCACTTGCAATTGTTTGAGCAGTATCGCCCGAAAAAACGAAACCCTCCTCAACATTGCTGCACATATGTTTAAACAGAGCAATTTGACTCATTGTAAGATCTTGAACCTCATCAATATAAACAAAGTCCATTTGATCACCCCCATATTTTTCATGCCTGAGACGGCGGTGAAGATCAATTACAAAATCAGCCAGATCATATTCACCATTTTCCAGCTTCATTCTTTCATAAGCCTGAAATATATCGTATATTGCTTCTCTCTTTTGCCTGCTTAAATTGGAAGCCCGGCCCTCTGACAATTGAACATAATCCTCCCTATTGAGTTTACCATCGCCTGCTTCTATGGATCCCAAACCACCTTTAATATGAGATATTATCTCTGCAAAGACTCTTGAAGCATCAAGTTTCTTTGTTAATTGGATATTAAAATGGGGCCAATAAGATGAACTGAATCTGTCATACTTAACCTCCTTTGTCCTTATAAATGTCTGCAACGCAACTGATCTTGAACTTTGCAATTGACCGTGAGTAAGTTTTGTTGCATCAGGGAATCTTTCAAAGTATGAGTTACTCAGTGTTCCATCTAGCATCATCAAGAACTTATGGAATGTTATGACAAGAGGGTAAGAGTTGGGAGGAATATCACGAAATGAATCCTTGATATCCTTGAATTGGGGTTCCTCCTCATCAAAATCAGCCATATCAATCAAACTCTTTTCGGTTGAATCACTTCCACCACATGCAAAACTGTGGACGTACAAAAGTTAGCAACTTAGAATTATGCTGTTTTGGTGACTGATGTAATGTTGATATTTATAAAACAATTTAAGTCAGGAACGAGAAAGAATTTTGCTTCAGCAACAGAAATCAATATTCCTAAATTAAAATTCTTCTGAAAAGAGAAATAGTGTATCATGATTCACAATATACTACCCTACAATCAAACAAAATAAAATAAAATGCAGTATCTTTTTGTTGAATAATACACGCACCTTTTTAAGTGTAAAACATGTTGCTTGATGGCAAAACACAATTTAGGACTCACGGTCACAAAAATCTGGTGTAGGTTTCTCCCTCTAGTAGCTGAAGAACTCTGCTCAACCATGCTATTTGGACTACCAAGGCATCCGTGCACTGCCAATTGGTGACATTGTTCATTCTGAAATAATTTCATGGTTAAAACTGTGGTCTTCCCCGTTCCTGACCGTCCAACTATAAACGTACTTCTATGATAAAGAATAATCTCCATTTCCTGGTCTGTAACTTCAAATGGAAGATCCAACTCTCTACCCTCACGGTCAGACAGCAAGTGGTTTACTACACCAGATGACAAGGAATAAAATTTCATGAGCAACAAACTCTCGTTGACCTGTGAATTCTCAACATAACTTCTACCATCAAAATCGTCGTTACGAACTAAATCACTCTGGTTTTCAGTGACGCTAAGATCCTTGAACCGGGGAACATCAAAAGAGGGTGGCCAGCTCTTCGGAACTTCCAACTCACTGGTCACAAATGACAAAGAAAAATATGACGAAGGATTTGTATCATTAAATGATTCAATTCAAAAAGGAAGCACTCACTATTATACATTCAAATATGATCAAAAGAAAGGCGAGAATGCAAAACAACATACCCCTCAAGGCATTTCTCCTTGCACCGATTGATAAAATCATCTGTATACCTTTTCAAAATACTCTCTAGACGATTTACCAATTTTGGAATATCCTCTAGAGGCAATATGTCCCAGATCTTTAATATTTGAATGTATTTCACATCCTTTGCAATGTCAGTTGTGCAAACAATTGATAGACCTTCAACTTTATATTGCCTCAAGATTGGTGAAGAGCTTCCACAAATTGTCCCTACATTTCGCTTCTTAGGTCTCCAACCACTGGAAAGCCTCAGAAGAAGATTTAATACAGACTTCTTCAGACGGATTGACTTGAGCTTTTTGAATGACTTCAGAAAGTTATCACTGAAAAGTACCTAAAGATAATGGATTGGGGGAAGAAAAAAATTATAAAAATGAAATGAATATCTAAAAGAAAATCCAATTTCAGAACAAACATTGAGAAGTTCGAGAATAGGGAGTTCTTGCAAATTAAGGGAAAAAAAGAAGAAGAAAAACAATCATAAATAACTACATACAGCTTACCTTCCATCTAGAACTTCTAAAAAGTATGCTGTCAGCATTAAGCAAATCATCAAATTGTTCAAACTCTTTCTTCACCTCTAATATGGCCTTGGCCAAATCCTTGTCTTCATCAGCATTAAAGAAGCATTGACGACTTTTGGCATCAAGGACCAAGGACTTCCAAACAGATTCGCTATCGAGTAGTGTTCTTTCATTTCCCAGAATCCAAAGACAATGCCTGAAGTAATTAGAGAAGAGTAGTTATTTTCACCAAAATTATTAACAATGATGCAAAAACATACAAGTTTACATAAAACCATACCTAGCCCTTGTAAGAGCGACATTAACTCTTTGCAGTTTTGATATAAAATCAAGGGATTGATGACTATTAGATCGTACAGTGGACATTATAATTACATCCTCTTCCCCACCCTGGAACCCATCAACCGTCTTCACCTTAACTGTAAATCCATCAATCTTGTCATACTTCTGTCGAAGTCTGTCCTGAACTGCAACTACTTGAGCAGCGTAGGGTGATACCACCCCAATACTGAGTTTTTGTTTTGAAACAATCCATTCTGTATTCAAAGAGAAAGCAAACAAGAAAAAATTTCAGTGTAATCCAAACAAAAACAAAAAAATACCCTTGACACCCTAAAATGTTCCAGACCCACCAAAAAAAATTGATGCAGAGAAAACTTAAACAGATTTCAACATTACTTACTGTTCAATAAACCTTACAAACATATAAAATAAAACATCTTGGAAATCAAAATCATTGAAAACATTGAATTAAGAACATGAACATGACTCCCCAGCTAGACATACCTTTGTACAGATTGCGCAGTATTTTCACAATAATAGCAACCTCCACCAAATTCTTTCTACTATGTCCATCCTCATCCTTCTCCTCTCTTCCACCAATTACATTTATAAAAGAAAAAGGACCAAACATTGACCCTGGAAGATAGTATTTCTCATGGCTTCGCTTTTGAACATTTGGAGCATCTAGGATCTGGTTATTATAGAAATTTGAATTTGGGAAGAAACTTATTGAGGGATGCATTCTGTATTGCATATTCAGAAGGTGTTTTGAGTGACCCAATGAGCTCAACCTCTCAAACAAGCTTCTTGAAAAACCAGCCTCATTGGAAACCTTTGGAAGATAAGAAGTTAGATATAAACACAAATGAAAAGGAAGTGGAATGAAAAGTTGCAATAAGAGAAAGAAAGGATATATATATATGTGTGTGTGTGTGTGTGTGTATGACCAAGTAGCATCAACGTACATTGCTTTTCACTGTAGCTGGTAACTGACATTCATCACCAACAAGAACAGCATGCTTCACACCTGGAAGTTGCAGGGGTATTGTTGATTCACATTCTTTCAATTGTGCAGCTTCATCAATAACAACAAGGGTCAGTGGCTCCATTTCCACTCTATGCAGCTTATAGGAACTTGACGCAGTGCAAAATATTAAGGAAGCTCTTTGAAAACAGAATTCCATTAGAGATTCTTCATTTCGAACATTTGGAAGGATAAGTCCTCTTAGAGAATCCTGTAGAGTACGTAATATTGAAAGGCATTCTCTTCTCTTCATGCACAGCAGAAACGAGTTATCTATAAATGAGTCAGGCACATCTTCAACTTCTGAACGAGTGAAAAGGTGTTCCAATGCTTCAGAAACAACATTACCTTGCAACAATAGTAATTCAATGGAATCCACTATGCCTATGAGCGAAATCATGTTTTGGAAATTATTTACCGAAATGTAATATTTGGCTATATGGGTACAGAAGGTAGAAATGCAATATCTTAGCGGTAATGTAGTAGAAACAAATCTATCTCTGAAGAATTCAAGAAATGATTTGCACTTCCCCTTGAAAACTTCAGTGTCAATTCTGCCTTCTTTCTCTTTCGCTTCACCAACACCGTTATCTTCTTTCTCTTTGGTTAACTCGTTTTCCAAGAAAATATGGTAATGAGAAACACAATCTTCAAGAAAATCTATCATGGAAACAAAGCAACTCCTCCAACCGGTCACTGGCCCCAAGCACTCACCTAGCTTTCTGACACGGTAATTCAAATATATATTTTCGATGTGTGGACCCACTTTGAGTCGCTCGTTATTCCCAAATAGAAGAACTTCTCCCAAAGAACAGAACAAAGAATTGGACTCTGCTTCAGTTACCATCTTTAGAACACGAGAAGCAACTTCAGTTATTGCAACATTTGTTGGGGCACATATAACAGTCCTACAATTCATCCGTAACAGAGTTAAAAGCAGAGTAGCAGTGGTTTTAGTTTTTCCTGTCCCGGGTGGACCCCATATAAGTTGCACAGTAGACTTGGAATCACAACGCAGCATCTCAAGACAGGCCAAACCTGCCCCAGTTTGGGATTCATTCAATCCAGATGATAAACTCTCAACTAACCACTTATCCCGGATGCCATCATTCCTTTCAGAATAGAAATAATTGTTTCTCTGAGCCTGTTACCAAACATAAGATTTTCAGTCAATCACAACAACAAATGCCATTGTTCTTGTTACACTTGAAGGAGGATGATAATGTGTCACAATAATGTGTCACAATTACTAGAGTATTATATTTAGTTATGACAAATGTAATACACTGATAATTTAGTACGATGTGTGGTGGATACTACATTACATCTTTGGATCATGTATGATGTATGGTTCGCATATCATGAATTGAATAGGTCCCATTTTAGTTAAGGCAATGCTAACTCAACTGAACAAAACCTACAGCATTGATCTTAAGGTCTTACCAGAGAATCAGCGCACAAAACTTTCTTGATAATCTGCAGATTTCCAGACATGTTCAACGCTTTCCATATTCTGCTATTAGGGATTAAATTCACCAGGAAAACCAAAAATAGTGATGTATGAGTGCTATCGTTGACTTCAAACTCTTTGGATGCCTTGACTTTAAAATAAAGAGAAGTACTATCATCCTCGTTCTCATTTTCTGAGACATTAATGAC